CTGATCCCATCTATCTTGAGGAAAAATGTGCAAGACAGCATCACTTCAGCAAAGTTATTAGCGTGAGAGCCCCAGTCATCGTCGAGATTCCACGCGGCGAAGAAGAGAACAAGGGCTCGAAGTATCACGAGGATTTCGTGATGATCTTCTTTGATGCGCGCGAGCTCAGACATCGTGGGGGGGTGTGTTGTAAGAGGAGAGTTGAGCAGGTGAGCGCGCGGCAAGGGTGTGGATGTATAAGTAGACTATAGGCGCATGACATGTGACTTGAAGTCACGCTGAGAGCAGACGCGACACGCCATTTACATAAACACCAAGAAATAGTGAATAAGGGGAGACACGAGGTAACGAGAATACCCTTTCAAATTTCCCAGCCAAATATTTGATCCCGGATTAAGGATAAGAAAAATAAGCGGCTATATTTGAAACGTGCTATTATGTAAACAAGAGTGGAAGCGCTTCTCATTTGTTTAAGTTCTTTCTGCCCTTCATCCCACGGCTTTATCAGGCTGCCTCCTGCATGCATGCATAGCAGGAGCGCTTCTCATTTGCTGGGTCAAGGCACTCAAACGCAACAGGCTGCCCTCCACCAATGCTTACTTGTATGCAGTCCAACAGTCAAGACAGAAGAATCACAGCCAAAAGGGTTGACGGGTCGTATGTTCAGGAAGGGTATGAGGCAAGCCTCTTACACTCTCCCCCACCTGGATGAGACCACGGGTCGAAGATTCCTCTGGCGAAAAGGGCTGAAATACTATTAAACAGATTAGCAACAATAAAAAGTGAAGAGTTGTGAAAGAAAGGAAATAGTTAGAGAAAAAAAAGATCCTAAGCGCAGAGACACAGTCTCACAACTCCACAACTTCCACCATATCCAAATACAACTCGTCATCACCCAAGTACTCCTCCCACGCAGCATCCCACCCTTCGTACTTCTCCGCTTCATCTCTGCTCATCCACCTGCCACTAACTTGCTCGCCTGCCACTCGTACTCGCACCTGAGGAACTCCAGGGTGTCTTCGATAACTTGCAACACCTGGGGCGGAGGTGGTTGATCAGAGGAGAGAACGGTGGGCGAGACTTCGCCATGGTATTTGGAGGAGGTGCGGAAAGGTTTTAGGAGAGAGGCATGACGGCGTGTGGTAGAGGTTGACTTGGAGAGAACAAGATTGAGATCGTAGAGGGATTGATGGGGAAAAGCCGCTATGACAGTATAGGGACTTTCCCATCGCGGTACAAGCTTGGCTGAATTTTGAGGCGACGTGGTTTTATACTCGTGTCAAAAATCTTTGGTGTTAAGGTAAACCAAGTCGCCAACCTTGTACACGACCTCTGGCTGTCTGTGTCGATTTGCCTGGATAGCCTGGGAATTCTTCACCATCAACAACGCATCCCTAGCCATTTTCTCTTCCAACTCCATCTTCTGCGCCGCCAACTGCCATTCCTCCTGACTAGGCTGGACAACTCCATATTCTCGCCATTTCTCCTCATCCTCCGTCTGAATGGGCGGTAAGAGAGATGACCGCTTGCCGTAAACCAACTGAGCCGCCGAAGTCTTGGAGGTAGGACAAACAGAATTGTTCATAGCAAACGCTACCCTCTGAAGATCGCTAGCCCATCGATTGCCTTGGTGGTTGATATACATGCGCAAGGTCTGGATCATGGTCTTGTTGGCTTGTTCGGAAGCACCATCGGTCTGGGGGTGGTAGGCAGTAGACATCTTCAACTTTGTGCCGCAGAACTCGTGGAGACGGGTCCAGTAAGCAGCCGTAAACAGTTTATCTCAATCAGAGACGATAGAGCGAGGAAACCCAAATTTGGAGATCCAATGATCAAAATATAGCTGAGCAGCGGCGGAGGAAGTGACCGTAGTAACCGTGGGGATAAGCACAACCCAGCCAGTGAGACAATCGGTAATGACCATGAGGTAGTCATAACCGTTACTGGAAGGGAGGGGACCAACAAAATCGATAGCGATATTGGCGAATTTAGACCGGGGGACGGGTAGAGAATGAAGTAGGCCGGCGGGTTTGACTGTTGAAGACTTGGCGGTTTGACAGGGGTGACACGATTGGACGTATTCCCTGACGTCCTTCTTCATCTGAGGCCAAAAGTACCTCTCCATAATCGTCTCCATCGTTTTCTCCACTCCAAAATGTCCCACCGCATCATGACACTCCTTCAAACATTCCTCGCGCAATCCCTCACTCTCTGGCACACATATCCTTTCTTCCAACTTCAATAACTCCACCATCTTCCCTTTCTTTCCAACCACCTTAACCATCACAACCCCCGGGGGACGCTCCTCTTCATTCAACCATCGTTCCATTATGCCATCTCCCTTGTACCCACTCGCCATACGCTCCAAAAATTCTTGGTTGACGGTAGTCGTGATGAGGGAGAGGGTGTTGAGGGACTCCTCCCCGTCGGAATGTAGACGAGAGAGAGTGTCGGCAATGACATTGGAAGCACCAGGAATATGGGAGATACGGAGGTCGTAATCCGCAAAGACAAGTAGCCATCGCTTCTGCCTCTCAGACAAATTGGGTTGCTCGAAAAACCAGCGAAGAGTAGCGTGATGTGTCATAACTTGAATAGGAAGACCAAGAACAAGTGGGCGCCATAGCTTAAGAGCATGTACGATGGCAAGAAGCTCCTTCTCGTGAACCGGGTAGTTCTTCTCAGCCGGCAAAAGAGCACGAGAGTCGTATGCAATGGGAGCAGCTTCTTCCGCAGTTTTGCCACTGCCTAACCAGGCGCCTATCCCCGTGTTGCTAGCATCGGTATGGAGACATAAGTTGGTCTCCCCAGCAGCGATAGCGCGGAAGTCGAGAGGAGTGAGGCTGGTGATGTTGGCAACAAGCTCTTTGAGCGTGACAAAAGCGTGATGAGCTTGAGGGGTCCAATCCCAAACCCAAGACAGTGCAGGAAGAGGATGGGGAGGATTCCCACGGGCAAGAAGTCGTATGCGGGCCTCATATGCTTTCCCAGCGGCTTTGTTGGGGGGGAGAAGGGCCAATAACACCGAGGAATGGGTAGCAATATTGGGGATGAATTTTAGAAGATATTGAAGAAGGCCAAGGAAGCTACGAAGCTCTTTGACGGTATGGGGATTCAGCCATGCGCGAAGTGTAGAAACCTTCTTAGGATCAGGACCAATAGAGTTGTTGGAAATGACGTGACCCAAAAAGGTGACCGAGTCAGCAAAGAAAACCGATTTCTCCTGAGAGCAACACAACCCACTCTTCCTCAACGCCTCCAAAACCTCTCGAATCCTCCTTTCCAGCTCTTCATCATTATCTGCCCACACTATCACATCGTCCATGTACGCCTCGCACGTCTCTCCAATCAATCCCCTCAGCGCCTCATTAACTCGTTGTTGTTGAGTGGCAGGGGAATTGCGAGCACCCTGTGGCATGACTACCCATTCATACAACCCCCATGGCGTAGAGATAGCCGTCTTCTCAATGTCTTTCTCCTCCATCAATGTTTGAAAGAAGGCGTCGGTCATATCCATCTTAGCGAACACCTTGCCCAAGGCCGCGCGCTGAAGAATATCCTCGATGAAGGGAGGCGAGGTTTTGTCGGGAATGGTAACTAGGTTCAACCCACGATAGTCGCAGAGGAACCGAAATTTCCCGTTCGTCTTGCGGAGGAGAAAGGCAGGGGCAGCCCAAGGAGAACTGGAAGGACGAAGACGACCAGCGCGGCGATGTTTCTCGATTTCTTGGAAGAATACTTCTTTCCACGCAAGTGGGACGCGAAACCCAGAACGAGCAGCTGGTTTGACACCAGGAAGAATGTCGATACGATGGCGTACTTTAGAGGTATTGTGGGAAACATCCGGGTAGTTCTCAACATTGCCTATGTCACGAGGAAGGACATCGGCACAATCGGCTCGGCACAATCGGCTCGAATTGCCTCTGCTTGTTGCTGGCGATGAGGAGAAGGGACAACCGTAGGCTGTAAGGTAGGGTCGTCGACAGTGAGGGAACCAATGTTGAAATACTGGGATTGAGCATGGTTGGAACGACCTTCAGCCATAAGTTTGTCCAGCCGCGCAGCACCTTCCAGCAAACGGTGTTGGAGACAAAAGGGGAGCCCAAGAATGAGGTCGACATGACGAGAAGAAGGAATGATGAGGAAGGGGGAGTTCTTGTACAGAGTATGACCAATAAAAACATCCATCCTGACTTGTAAGCAGTGGGCTACTGCTCACGACTTAACCATTTTCAGCCGCGTTTCGGCGATCTCCGCCTTTCACGACTTAACCATTTGCAGCCGCATCTCGGAACCAATTCTGCTCGCGTCTTGGCTATCGCTGACGCGGCTGTCTGCTTCCGTTCTTTGGTTCCGCTTTCTCAGTTTCCTGCCACTTCAGTATCTCCGTTCATTTCCGTCTGTTTCTGTCTATTTCTGTCTGTTTCTGTCTGTTTCTGTCTGTTTCTGTCTGTTTCCGTCCGTTTCCGTCCATTTCCGTTCCGTGCTTCCATTTCTGCCACCTTCGGCGTTTTGACTTGTGTGTTTGGTTGCGCGACTGTCTTTGCCCAGGGACAAGGATCACGGGCTTATGGAATCTTGGGTCTTTATCCATTTCTCTTCCACTTGCCCTTGGTTTCCTCGTCCCTGTGCGTATCTCCTTTGCTCTGGTGTTCTCCTTGACTGATCCTGGCCAGTGTTCGCTCTTCTTCTTGGTATGCTTTCTCGTACATAAAATAGGGGAATTCAATTTGGGGTTTAAGAGCGGTCTTAAACCGTTTGGCTCGCTTAAGGTGTCAGGTTGTGGTCAGGGCTCAGGCACATGCAGATCCTACCCTGAGCAGGGTCCATTTTCGCATTTTGACAGCTCCGAATTGGACCTTCCCGATGAATCAATTTTGCCAGTTTAAGACCGCCTTAAACCACCAAGTTTAAGAGTGGGGGTCTGAGCCACTCTTAAACAGAGTGGTCTTAAACTTGAGAACACACTCAATTGACAGAAAAATGCGACGCATTGACATTTTATTTCTCTTCTCTATCCATCGCAAAATCACCCCTTCCGCTCCCCTTTCATCAAACACCAACCACATTCATCCACTCTCAACATGCCAACCCATGCCCGTTATGTGCTTTGAGTATGAGTGATGTACTTTAGCCCTATTCATGACTGTGTGACCTGTCTCTTGCCCAAGAGACCCTCATGCAGATCAAAGATGCACATTTTTCTTACTCTCAACAGATCTATAGCTTCGATATCGCACTATGAAGAAGAGGCAAGCAGTGTCGCAGCATAGAGAAGGGGCAACCAAAAAGTCAAAAAGAAGCCTCCGGCGGGGCTCGAACCCGCAACCACACGATTAACTGGGGCAAGAGCAAAAGAAATACATTCAACATCACTGTCGGACATGGTCGACACATCGAGACGGACAGGATCTAATCGGGTCCAGACGTTCCCAGGGCCAGCCACGTGCTTATCTCTGAGCCCTGCCCTGACCCTGAGGCCGCCAGTTTAAGACCGCAAGTTTAAGAACACCAAATTGAATTCCCCTAATATTGACGGACTTTGTCCAGGTGAGCTTCGTTCTATCTTGTGTTCTTTATTCATTTCTCTTCCACTTGCCCTTGGTTTCCTCGTCCCTTGTCCGCTCTTCTTCTTGGTGTGCTTTCTCGTACATAATATTGACGGACGTTGTCCAGATACATGCACAAGGGGTCTTGCTTGCTTCTCTCGACAAGTACACACTCGACACAGTGAAGGGCTACACGCTTAGCCCTTACAGCCCGCTTGGTCCTTACACTTTTTTTTTGTGCTCTACCAGGCCCACAAATCACAAGTCCCCCCCACAATCGCCCCTAGTCCCCTCTAGTTCCCCCCCAGCCGTCACTAGTCCTTCCCAGCTATCACAGTTGCCACCAGCCCCCACTCAGACTCCTAGCCCCCACCATGAACCCCGATCACCCAAACGAACCTATCACCAGCGGCGAAGAGAAGGAGGGAGAGAAACAAGAAGAGAAGCCGAAGATGAACGCAGTGAACAACGTTGAGCAAGACGAGAAGGATGGAGGCAGGACGAAGGAAGAAGACGAGATCGGCGGCGAGAAAGACGACAAGGAGGGAGACAAGCCGAAGGCAGCCCCAGAAGGGGGGCAGGACGTCGACCAGACCGGTTCTATCACCTCCCATGACACCTCAGTCGACAGCACCCCTGGTCCCCGTGTCCGCCAAGGCACTCCTTGGCCCGACGACGCCCCCAATCCCATGGCCATGTTTGGGTTGATGGCGGGCCTCCAGCAGCAGATGGCTGCCATGCTCGCTCAACAACAAAGCACCCCCAGTATCCAACAGCAGCTCCTTGACTTGCTCGCCCAGCGAGAGAGCGCCCCTGCTCCCCCTGCTGCCCCTGCCCCCGCCGAAAATGCCCCCGCCACCTCCGACAACCCTGACTTGTTCCGCCGACCGGATAAGTTAACCTGTCCTACCCTCACCCGTGTCACTCGAGACCCATTCGTGGTGATGCGTCACATATCCGCCCTAGAAGACTACCTCGAGATGGCCCGCACTTTGATCAAAGCCAA